CACTGCCTGTCTAAAAAAAAAAAAATATATATATATATATATATATAAATAAAAAATAAAAGTTGCCATCTGGATTTAAATAAACAAATGCTTAGGATTTTAGGATTGAATCATTACTGCAGTGATTAATATGTTTATGGCATATTGTATGTTGGGCAACAATTTTTTAACTATCTGACGCAAGTGTGTAGTTTTTATTTCTCAAACAGCCATGTCGGAAGAAGTACCGATGTCCATATTACAGGATGCCAATGCCAAGATTCATTAGGCTCAAATTCTGAAAGATTGGTCACCACCAGAGTCCTGACCTTCATCCTACTGAAAGTGCTGGAGTCAACTTTACACTGCTTGTCCAAAAAAAGTTGCACACTCTTAATATTTCGTTGGACCGCCTGTAGCTTTGATTATATTGTGCTTTTGTTGTGCCATTGTTTCAACATTTATTTCCTCCAAGAGTTTAATTTGTTATTAATATAATTGATAGTAATATTACTTAATGATAGCTAATTAATAGTTAATATTTCCACAAATGTAACAACATATTCACATTTTAACAGTTCACCGATGTCCAGTAATTATCTCACTGACATGCAGTTAAACAAAATACTTATATTTTTAGTGTGGAAGTATTGTTTTCATTTAACAATTTTTTTTTTTTTTTCTGTAAGTTGACATTTTTTTTATGATTTACTTAAAGGGGTCATGAACTGAGAAATCAAAATTCCCTTGATCTTTTCACATATAAGAGGTCGTTGTACTGTAAAAACATCCTGTAAGTTTCAGAACTCAAAATGTCCTTGTTAGTCTAAAAACAGCTCATATTAAAGCCAGTCTGCCAAAACAACAGCTTGTGGATTGTTCTACTCTTATGATGTAATAGTGTGGCTAAACACTGCCTTCACAGAAGAAGATCAACGCCTGCTTCTACATCGCTGCTTGTTTAGCCCCGCCCACTTATTCACGCAAGTGTGGCAAACACAGGTCTATGCAGAAACCAAACAATAAACTGTATTTTTAATGAAGTGCCAAGTAAGAACTTGGTCCTTTGTTCACTTAATTTTACTGCGGATTCATTTACAAAGAAGGCAATCTATATTGGATAGATCTGTGCCAACTATATTGGATCCGACAGTAATGTCGCAACACACAAGTGTGAGTAACTGCTTTCATTACGTGGTTACTATTGCTTTGTCTATTATTACAGATAATTTGATATGTACTGAGTATTTATGCACTTTAAACCTAAATCACAGTAGCGTCCATCTGTGAAGAACATAGGCTGGCAAACATACACAACTATTAGCCAATCAATCATACCTGAGTCTACAATCCGCCACGCATATTCAAACAGAGTTCTGATGAGGGGGGTCAAAACAGGACAGAAAATAGCCTATTACTTCTAAATTATGTTTTGTGATGTAAAACTCTTGATAACATTATAAGTGGACCTCAGAGAACAGTACAAAATAATAAAAACGGCAGTTCGTGACCTCTTTAGTTAGCTTTTCATCAGCTCACAAACCTCCTCCTTCCGAACCCCAGTTTGGGAAACCCTGAAATGTTGTTGATAATAAAGAATACAATATATTTTCTTTCTATTTGTATTTTTTATATCAACTGGGTGCAAAATTCCTACTGAAATCTATGTGATAAATAAGATAGGTCAAAAGTCATCAAAAATAGTCTGAATGCATTATCTAAAATGTATAATCTAGATTACATTACTCACACAAATAGGCCTACAGCATACATTTGACACATTTGTGACACGCCACAGTCCCATACTCAAACTGACATGTATTTTTAATGTATCTCTGTTGGTTTACAATGTTTCCAGTGTATATTGCACCATTATAGGCTACAAGGTAGTGTAATTTCTCCCACACAAAGTGGAAGACGTCGGGAAAAAAACTTGGTAACACTTTAAAATAAGGTTCATTAGTTAACATTACTTAACTACTTTAGTTAACATTAACTAAGAATTAACAATACTTCTACAGCATTTAATGTTCATTTCAACAATGCATTATTAAAATCAAACGTTGTGCTTCTTAAGATTAGTTAATTCACTGTGAATTAACATGAACTAACAATGAACGACTGTATTTGCATTAACTAACAATAACAAATATGAATAAATACTGTAATAAATTTATTGTTCATTGTTTGTTCATGTTAGTTAGTACATTAACTAACATTAAATAATGGAACCTTATTGTAAAGTGTTACCAAAAACGTTTATGCCAAAATAAGTTTGACTTAACTTCAGTGCGTCTATTACAAGTTTCAGCATTTACTGTGAAAAATGTACACGTTACAGACCAGCAGCCAGGAAAGACCGCTCCTGCACCACGTGACTGCGGGTTCCGGCTCGTGGTTGCTATGGCGATGACGGTAGGATTTGATGCGGAGAGTCAGTACGCCTTCGGCAGGAATTAGACTGCGCTGCAGGAATATCCGTAAGTACACCAAATCTATTCGTTTTATACAGTCTCAGCAGGTCTTAATGAGCTAAAACGACGATTAGGAGTGTTTCTGAAGGTTTTATAAATCGATACAATACTAACTGCGCCGTTACAGCGCTATGTTGTGCTGCCAGTCAGGTACAAAAAATGCAGCTCTGTTTATTTAACGTTAGTGTTTATAGAGCAATGAACTTTTTTAACCATAAACATTTTCTGCAGTCGTCTGTATGTATTAAAGAACTCTACCAAAAGATATCTACAGCATTTCTAGCATGTCTAAAAATAACAAAAAATTAAGTTATTATGGCTTTGCTGTATTGCTATATCTAGTATACACGTACTGTATAAAGTACACAAAGTAGTTCAGGTTGATGATGTACAGAGTAAACACATACAGTACAGCAGGTTATCTGGTTGTGCTGACATTGTGTGTCTTCACAGGCGAGTTTCCCAAGACAACCTGCTGACAAGACAATGCATTTCAGCCCTCCTGTCAGCAGAGACAGGATCATATCCACATTTCCAAAGGTACACATTATGTCAATTATTTACAGGTACTTTAATGGAATAGATCATTCTGTGTTTGAAAAGATCAAATCATCCAGTATGATTCATTTTGCAAGTCGTACTGTACAGGAAATTCAGCAAGCGTTCTGTAAACTGTAGCCAGCACATCAGATTAGTATATTGAGAATGTGTGACATCCATAGAGGAGCCTCAGTGCAGCTGGATCCGTCAGGATCACAGGACTGCAGCTAATTCTGCTCAAATAAAAAGGCTGCTTCCTGTACTAGTTTTCTCAGTAGTGGGGTCATATTAAGGGAAAATGTATTCTATTTACTTTCTGGCCTTTATTGTGAATGATTTCAAAATGGTATAGGAACATACAGCTTTGCAGTAGACTAGACAAAACTACTGTTCTTACTCACTTTATTGCCAAAACTTAACGTTGTTTATGATGAGTTCATCAGCATTTATTAGTTCTGTTCTATTATTCTGTAGTGTTATAATCCACAAGCCTGCCTACAGATGAAAGATGATTGGAATACAAAAGCCAAGATGGCTTGCCAAGACCGGGCAGCACATCAGCAAGGGTTGGTATACAAATGAATTTTTTTTTTTTAAATGTTTCTAAAGAATGATATGAATGTTATGATATAAATTGTTATATTTACTGATACTGTTATAGATAAATTGTTATAGATATTGATACATTACCGTCATGAACAATCATGATTATTCCATTTATACTGTATATAGAGAAAGAGAGAGATTACTAGTCCATTTATTATATAATTATATTCATATTATCTTCTAGGTTTGACAGGCTTAAGATGTCAAAAGCAGTAGTGGTTGGAGATCTCAATGTGGGAAAGACATGTTTAATAAACAGGTAAATTGTATACAGGAGGTTTATTTAAAGGGATAGTTCACCCAAAAATGAAAATTCTGTCATTAATTACTCACCCTCATGTCCTTCCAAACCCGTAAGACCTTTGTTCATCTTCAGAACACAAATGAAGATATTTTGGATGAAATCCGAGAGCTTTCTGACTCTCCATAGACATCTGACCCTCCAACGGAAGTACCACGTTCAAGGCCCAGAAAGGTACTAAGGACATTGTTAAAATAGTCCATGTGACATCATGCAAATAATTTTTGTGCGCAAAGAGAAAAAGTAACGACTTTATTCAACAATTTCTTCTCTTCCGTGTCAGTCCTCAATGTGTATTCACGACAGCACCGCGACGTACGAGTCATTATTTTTACAAGCTATGTGAAGAGAAGAATTGTTGAATAGCCATTATTTTTGTTTTCTTTGCGCACAAAAAGTATTCTCGTAGCTTCATAAAATTACGGTTGAACCACTGATGTCACATGGACTATTTTAACGATGTCCTTACTGCATTTCTGGGCCTTGAATGTGGTAGTTGTGTTGCTGTCTATGGGAGGGTCAGAAAGCTCTCGGATTTCATCAAAAATATCTTCATTTGTGTTCTGAAGATGAACGAAGGTCTTATGGGTTTGGAACAACATGAGGGTGAGTAATTAATGACAGCATTTTCATTTTTGGGTGAACTATCCCTTTAAATGATACACGCTGTATTTTTCATGGACATTAAGTGCCATTATGTGTTTGCATATAATAGGTTCTGTAAAGATGTGTTTGAGAGAGACTACAAGGCTACTATAGGTGTTGACTTTGAGATTGAGAGATTTGAGATATCTGGGCTGCCCTGTTCTCTTCAAATGTGAGTAGTTTTTTCTGAATGATTTAAATAGCATGTCTGTTTATTTAAAATGTTCATGTCTTTTATATTTGTTTTTGCACATTACAATATTTGCAGATGGGACACTGCTGGTCAGGAAAAGTTCAAATGCATTGCATCAGCATATTACAGAGGAGCTCAAGGTAAAATGCAGGTTCTCATTTGAAGGAACTGTACACACAAAAATTAACATTTGCTGGAAATGTACTCACCCTCAGGCCATTTAAGATGTAGATGAATTTGTTTCTTCATGGGAACAGATTTGGAGAAATTTAGCATTACGTCACTTGCTCACCAATGGATCCTCTGCAGTGAATGGGTGCCGTCAGAATGAGAGTCCAAACAGCTGATAAAAACATCACAATAATCCACAAGCAATTCACACGACTCCAGTCCATCAATTAATGTCTTTTGAAATAAAAAGCTACATATTTGCAATAAACAAATCCATCATGAAGATATCCATCAAGAGAAAAATATGAATTTCTCTCTGTGAATCAGGAGAGAAATATGCACAGATCAAGCTGCGTTTACAAGCTAAATCAGTCCAAAACAGTTAACAAATATGTCAGTAGATTCTGATGTGAGGATAATGGGATGGACATTTTCACTGGATTATTATGGCAACAGTTTAAAGTTAAAACACTTTCGTGATGGATTAGTTTGCTTACAAACATGCAGATTTTCACAAGACATTAATTGATGGACTGGAGTGGTGTGGATTACTTGTGGATTATTGTTTTTACCAGCTGTTTGGGCTCTCATTCTGACGGCACCCATTCACTGCAGAGGATCCATTAGTGAGCAAGTGATGTAATGCTACATTTCTCCAAATCTGTTGCGATAATGAAACAAACTCATCTACATCTTGTATGACCTGAGGTGGGTGAGTAAATTTTTTGTATTTTTTAATTTTTGGTGAACTATTCCTTTAATACTCCAGATCAGAGTCTGTTTAAACCCCAATATAATCCTTTCTGTTTCTACTCTAAAAGTTATTATTACTGTCTTCGACATGGCGGATATCAAGAGCTTGGAACAAACACAGTAAGTAAAACCTGTAGTAATGTTTTGAAGATTGACAATGTGTCAAGGAATTGTAATTCTAAGGATTTCTTGTTTGTTTCTCAGACAGTGGTTAAAAGAGGCACTGCAGGAAAATGAACCAGACTCCTGTTTTGTTTTCATGGTTGGCACAAAAAGAGACCTCCTGGTGAGAATAGTCCGCACACACAAGCATGCATATGTACACATACAACTTGTAAAAGCTATTAAAGACTCCTCCTATCCTTATGTGAAGTCTGCAGAAGAGTGCCAGAGAACAGAGAGCGATGCCATAAAGATTGCAGCAGAAATGAACGCGGAGTTCTGGTCGGTGTCCTCAAAAACAGGTACATTCTGTTTATGTTCATACATATAAATGTACTCCATAGTTGTTGCTATGTCCATTACAAAAACTACAAGATAGATACTACATGTAACTGTTACTACTATGGGTTTGAAGGGGAAAACATCCAGGAGTTTTTCTTTCGTGTGGCAGCTTTGGCCTTTGAAGATGCCATTCTGAAGGACCTGGAGACAGAAATCAGCACCACTCAGATTGGAGATGGAAGTATTCTTGGTAAAGATAGCACTCTGAAATCATAAAACAGCAATGTTCACTTATGTAAATGTTGTGTTGTATTGAGTAAATTAATGTGGGTTTGTTATTTCAGATGATAAAGCACTGGAAGATGCACAAGAAAAACCAAAGAAGAAGTCCTGTTGTTGACCCTCAGTGGTTTAAGAAGAAGAACTAACCAATTTGTATTACAGGACAGAATAAATATTTAACCTAGTAGAAAACAAAGTGTTTTTGGTTGACATAACCAACCTCTGAGTTGGTGCATCACTAATGTACTCTCTGAGAGGGACCACCTTATCAGAACACACATAAAAATAAGGGACTGACATCCGAGATGATTTCAAACATTTGATATGTACTGTAGTATTAACGTCAGTATTTTGTACTGAGCATAAACTGCCATTTAATAATTGCATTGTGTTTTTCCTTTTTTATTTTTTTATCTTCCTTTGGCAGACGAAATAAACATACATTATAATTGCACACAACTTATGAAATTGTTATTAGTGTTTGTCTTTACGTTAACCAAGCTTGAGAACTGTACAGCAGTGATAGAAGGAAACGTACTGTTTATCAGAAAAAAGCATAGTTTGATAGTTTACAAACATGATCATGAAGTGTATCAGATGGCTAGACTTGTAGACTATTATTTGAGCTTTTTCTACAAAGAAAGCAAAATACATTATCATACCTTCTGAAATGGTAAGATCTTTACTTTAAAGTGTTATATTATATTATATTATATTTAGTGCTGTCAAATGATTAATCGCATCCAAAATAAAAGTTTTTGTTTACATAATATATGTGTGTCTACTGTGTATATTTATTATGTATATATAAATACACACACATACAGTATATATTTAGAAAATATCTACATGTATTTACGCGTATATATTTATATTCATGTAATTTAATTTATATATAAATATATTTCATATTTAAACATATTTTTCTTAAATATATACATGCATGTGTGTCTATTTATATATACGTAATAAATATACACAGTACACACACATATATTATGTAAACAAATACTTTTATTTTGGATGCGATTAATCATTTGACAGCACTAATTATATTATATCATATATTACTGTAAATGAGGCGGACTTATTCCTGACCTCCAATGATCTCCAATACGATAGGCGGCGCTGTGCATCTCTGTTATTACAAACCCGTTACCCGAAGAAGACACTGTCTTAGTTCAGAAAACAGTACAAATGTTGCATTATTTTTGGTAGATATAAGTTAAGCTATGCGTTGTCAGTGTATAAATACATATGGATCCTCTATCTAATAAACCTGTGTCTTACAATTAGAAGTTTTGCAGAGCGTTCTCTCTGGGATCAGAAGAAATGAGTCACGCGACATGTAAACAAACAGGAGGATGACAGACTGTCTAAAGTTTGATTGCGCTTCTTCGTTTTTAAGCACTTTGAACGTCGTTTAAAACTTTTGTTCTTGCATATCATGTCGATCTGAAGGATGCAGAAATGAAGATGTTGATATTCTGCGGACTGCTTCAGCACTGGATATTTCTTTGTTTGTAAATGTGTATGTGACTGACTGTACATCATCAAGACTACAATAACTGTTACCATGAAGGCTAACAAGTCCTACAAACTTGTGGTGCACAAGAAGGGCTTTGGAGGGAGTGGTGAGAATGTTCTTAATACTTAATTGGTTTTAGTTTATGACAGTGGCTCATTTAACATCCTTGTGTTTTTGCACGAATCTATTAACACTCTCTCTCTCCACAGATGATGAGTTGATGATGAACCCTAAAGTCTTTCCTCAGGTTAAACTGGGGGATATTGTTGAGATTGCACATCCAAATGATGAGTACAGGTGAGAGGAGCTTTCTGCTGATTTCAGGTCATGTCAGACAGAAATATGCCTAAAAATTATGTCACATTTCATCCTAAAATCATTTGGAAAAACTATATAGTCATAATTCGTTTAAATGAAAAATGAAATCTTAAATGAAGTGTTTTAATGTATGTAGATCTTGAAATAAAATATTTAATAAATTACTTGAAATAAAATACATTTATGAACAGTTTTTTTATTTTATATTTTCTAACTGAAAAACAAATAAAAATGAATAAAACCTATATCGACTACATGAACTACATATTAAAACATAACTAATATAATTTCTGGTTATTCTCACAAAAATATGTCATTTCATCCTATAAAAAGTTAAAAATATTACAACACAATCTTACATGAAATGTAACGAATATATATATATATATATATATATATATATATATACTATATATATATATATATGTGTGTGTGTATGTGTGTGTGTGTGTGAGAGAAATAAAATGTTTAAATAAAATACATTTATTAACAGTAATTATTTTCATTTTTATTTTTTTAACAAAAACATACAACAAAATTACTAAAACTTTAATTATAAAGAAAACTAATATCAAAATTAAAGCTAATTAAATTTATGAATAAATTAACACTGTTGTCTTCTATATTATACAGTGTTGTATTTTGCATGGTACATTGGTAGCACTTTATTTTACAGTCTTGTTCCATGTGTACATATTATGTACTTTTTATAACAATTATAATAACTGGGTGATAACTAGGTACTAACCCTGAACCTATCTCTAAACCTAACTTAACCTTTGTAGTAGGGATGCACCGATATGAAAATTTTGGCCGATACCGATAACCGATAATTCTTTATTTTTGAAAGCCGATGACCGATATGTTGGCCGATAAATCTATATCCAAATTTTTATATACTTTTTGAGAGCCTGATTACAAAAAAGATCTCATCATTAAAAGCCACATCCCAAACACTTCAACATAAGCAGCCAAGTTTGAACGGTGTACGTTTTAAAAATAATTTTACTCTCCCATTACCAAATTTAGTCATAAAAAAGTCTTACAAATAAATAAAATAATGCATAAATAATGCAAACAAGTCACGGGACATCATTACATGTGTAAAGAATCAAAATGAATGCGCCATAGATCAATAAAACGGAATAGCCTCTGCACGGACAATAATTAAATGATTTTAATTACTAAACCATATTGTTGATGAAAATAATAAGAGAAAAATACAAGTGGTTGTTATTATTAATAATGTATCAATGATTTTGAAAAAGTAACAAATTAATACCACTGTTTTAAATAGCAGCCGTTTGAGCAGCGCGTGCTGAAGCTGAAGAGCTGAATGAACACGGTAAACTGAAGCGTTTTGCTGGCAGCTTATTTAACTCAAGGAAATGCATCCTGAGATTAATATTAATACAACATAAACATAATATTACAACTTATATATGTACAAAATGACGCAGTTATTGCGTGCTATAGTCAGAATGTGTGATCCTGTTGTGGATGCGCTCTTCCCATAACAACGCGCTGAAACACAGCAACTAAACCCAAAGAATTCACAACGTTTTATTATAATAATGTTCTCATTAGAATGTTATATACACGACATTCCCAATCATAGTTATTAATGTTGTGCACTGCTGTTTGAGCTGCGTGCGCTGAGCTAAAGATGATCACCGGTAAACTGAAGCGCTCTTTTAACTTAACCAAACGCATTCTATATGAGATAAATCAGATATACATCAAATAAACACAATATTACAACGTACAATTGCACAAAAATTGCTGCAAACGAACAGCGCGCATCTGAAGTGTCTCTGAAGGAAATAATGCATTATTTATCGGCTTTAAGATATCGGCCAAATTTTCTTATCGGGCCGATACCGATAACAGAAAAAATGAGCATTTATCGGCCGATACCGATATGGTGGCCGATATATCGTGCATCCCTACTTTGTAGTTACCTTGCCTTACCCAATAGTTTCTGGGGTAAGTACACTGCTGTAAAATAAATTGTAATCGGTATATTAATATATGCATCAATAATTGGTTTATAATTTCTGTGTCTTTGTCTTAGTCCTCTACTGCTGCAGGTCAAGAGTTTGAAAGAAGACCTGCAGAAAGGTGTTTTTTAAATTAGCGCTTAATTTTATGTACTAGTAACTATTAATTGGCTTTATCTTGTTCATTTTCTAAACGAATTTTCTCTTTTTCCACAAACAGAAACTATCAGTGTAGATCAGACAGTGGCTCAGGCCTTCAAACTTCGCGCCTACCAGGACATCATCATCAATATTGTGGACCCAAAGGTATTTTATACAGAAATACACTTTATTGCACAGTCCTACTATTTTATTTAAAAGACTATATTTACAATATAGCACAGCCGCTCATGATACCGTATTACCTAAATGCTCCATTGAAATTTACAGGATGTGACTTTGGATCTGGTGGAGCTCACCTTCAAAGATCAGTATATTGGACGAGGAGACATGTGGAGACTGAAGAAGAGTTTAGTGAGTAGATTAGATTCAAATCTGCATGGGATGTTCATTTTTGATGCCTTGTAATGATCTTTATGTCTCTATGATGTTCTTTCAGGTGAGCACATGTGCGTATGTGACACAGAAAGTAGAGTTTGCAGGGATCAGGTAACAACATCCATTATTACAGTCAGAAGTATATGTACAACTTATACACTACTGTTCAAAAGTTTTGGGTCAGTTTTTTTATGTTTTTGAAAGAAGTGAAAACTTTTATTTAACAAGGATGCTTGAAATTGATCAAAAGTGACAGTAAAGACATTTAAAATGGTACACTTTTTTTCTGTTCTATCACAGTTTCCACAAAAATATGAAGCAGCACAACTTTTTTTCAACATTGATAATTATAAAAAATGTTTCTTGAGCGGCAAATCAGCGTATTAGAATGATTTCTGAAGATCATGTGACACTGAAGACTGGAGTAATGATACTGAAAATTTAGCTTTGCAACACAGGAATAAATTACATTTGAAAAAATATTCAAAACTGTCATTTTAAATTGTACTAATATTTCACAATATTACTGTTTTTACTGTAGTCTTGGTGAGCATAAGAGAAAACATTTAAAAATCTTACTGAACCCAAACTTTTGAACAATGGTGTATGTCTAACTAAATAATCGTTTTATCATGGTTTCAGGGCCCAGGCCAGTGAATTGTGGGTAAAAGGAGAGAAGGTCACTTGTGGCTACATTAGTGAAGATACAAGGGTGAGAAAGTTTCTTTGGAAATTCAAGTTTTGTTACTATCCATCACTATCCATTTTTACCCCCACATGTTTTCTCCACCTAGGTGGTGTTTCGGTCCACCTCTGCCATGGTTTATATATTCATTCAGATGAGCTGTGAGATGTGGGACTTTGATATCTATGGTAAAGAGACCATTTTTTTTAACCATTATGCATATTTGAAGAGTAAATCTGTTATTTCAGGATTTTTAAGCTGCTGTCTTCATTCACAGGTGATCTTTACTTTGAGAAAGCTGTCAATGGTTTCCTCTCAGATCTGTTTGCTAAATGGAAAGTGAGTGTCAGCTTTACAATTTACCAGTAGTAATGTTATCT